AACCAGCTGTTCATTGAGAAATCATCCTAATGATATGGCAGGGAGTATAAAAAACAGGACTATAATATTGTATGATTCTAAGAAGTGAGGTAAGATCACTAGTCAGGTGTTACCACTGATCATCTAAAGTTCTATGTTACAGAAAACCTAAGTAGCCAGTTTAAATAGGCTGTGTACACTAAATAATGACCTCTAAAGAGTCTATATCCTAATCTCCAGAGTCTGTGAATATGCTGTGTGACATGATAAAAGGGACTTGGAGATACTTGAATAAAGGATTTTAAAATGGTGAGGTTTTCTTAGGTGTAGTGGGTGGTCCCACTATAACTACAAGGGTCCTTATGATCAGAGTCAGAAGAGAGAGGTGTGATGATGTAGACCCTTGGATTTTGGCTCAGTTGGTTTTGACATTCAGAACTGTAAGGTAATGTTTTTCACATTAAGTCACAAAATATGTACTACTTTGTCACAGCAGTAAGAGGAAACAAGGAACTCATTCACTAAATGCAGGATAATTTGAATATCAGTAACGGTAAAAACAGCAGTAGATTGAGATAGATCAAATAAACTTACATCGGCGAATTCATGATGACAGTGAAAAGATCCCACCTCATTTGTTGTATTAAAAATGACAAAGAAAAGGGAAACATCAATTCTATTCTGCCTTTCCTGTGCCAACTATGCCGCAGGAAGATGAACTAGTGGTGAAGAGGACGTTTCTCCTTTGTCAACGTGTTCGAAATGAAACAAATAAGGGTTAACGGTCTCCACCATCCTGCAGGCCTAACAAATCATTGGCTCGGGTCGGTAGCTGTCTTACAGGAGCAATGCAGGGCCTGGTGGGGTTGGAACCTACTGCCTTCTACTAGGTGGAAGTCAGGAATGTTGCTAAATATCTTACAATGCACAGGATAGCCCCATACCAAAGAATTATTCAGCTCAAAATGTAAACTGGCCCTTGTTCCAGCTAAGAAACCCTGAACTGGGCAATGGAATAATTCCAAAAGAAGTAAACCACTGTGCATCACTTGTGGAAGTGTTGCCACCATCTATGAAAAATAGAAACAGTAAGCTTAAATCTGATCAAGCCAGCCAGGCGTGGTGGCTCACACCTGTAACCCCAGGACTGGGAGGCTGAGCCAGGAGGATCACTGCGAGTTTGAGGCCTGCCTGGGCTGTGTAGTGAGTTCAGGGCCAGCCTGAACTGCATAGCAAGACCCTGTCTCAAAAAAAAAAATGTGATAAAGCTTCTAGGTCTCAAAAAGATAAAAGGTCAAAAGAATGTAAAATTATACACACAGGATCTCTTAAACATCCAGGCTGTGCAGGTTGTATAAACATTTCAGTTCTATTTTAAAAAATAATTTAAATGGTACGTAGGGGAATTGAGGAGAAAACTATAGTTTCAAGTGATTTCTCAGAGACCTGGTAGAATATATATATATATATATTCTATATATATACCAAGAATATATATATACATTCTGTATATATATATTCTGTGTGTATATATATATATATATATATACAGAATATATATACATTCTTGGTAGAATATGTATATATATTCTATATATATACCATAGAATATATATATATTCTATATATATACCAAGAATATATATATAGATTCTACCAAGTCTCTGTGTATATATATGCACACACATATATATGTAAATTATTTCAACAAAATGTAATTTTGTCTGCATTCTAATTTTTCTTTAAGAAAAATCACAGTGATATTTTTAATGTAATAAATTACTGAACAAGATTTTATATTCAAATACATTTCAGTGATGAATATCTTTGAAGAGGTCTATTTAATATCTGTGTGGCATAGAATTTCATCTTATTTGGCACTGAACCAAAAATACTTTCCTGTTCTCTATTAGGAATGTCTTTCACAAGCAGCTAAGAATTAAAAATGGCTTTAGTCTCGAGTTATTTAATTTACATAGAATTTAATTTGCTGAGAAACTACAGCCTTAAAAAGGTCTATAAAAAGATAAAAATAAAATTTAATGGATGAAATATGAGACTGTAAAAGTCTATTGCTACGTAACTGATGCCTACTCTCAGCACTTCTGCTTCCTGAGAAGTGAATATTCAGATAACCTTTCATGTAAAGACCCCCAAACAAGGCAAGGAGCTGATGGAGGGCAAAGAGATCAAGGGATGGTTGGTGGTGAAAAGCCACGAACACTATGAACGTAGGATCAGCCATGAAAATGAGAATATGGCACCTTCATATATTTTCCTTCTTGATATGTCATGGTACTTTGATTCTTGACAGATTTTTCTCTTTGCTTTCCTTCCCGTACCATTACGTGTAGGGTATGTTTATAATGGTAAAATTTCCACTGTGGTACACAACTTACAGAACATTTAGACAAAATTATAACCATTTAGAAGAGGAATGAGATCCAAATAGAAATTTTCATTCTTTTCTATTTAATGTCTGTGTGTGTGTGTATGTGTGTGTGTGTGTGTGTGTGTGTGTGTGTATGTACTGGGGATTGAACCCAGGACTTTTGCAGTGAGTTCTACCCTCAGCTCTTTGCACATTTTTTTTTTTAATCTTGAGAAAGCATCTCAATAAATCTCTAAGTGGCCCAGGTTGAATTTGAACTTACAATCTTCGTGCCCCAGCATCTGAGAGTTCTGGGATTACAGGCATTGCCACCACACCCAGCTTGAAATCTCTTTTAAACGACATGTCCTGACTTGACTTTCTTCCATCCCTTTGCTACCAGCATAGCTCAGATTCCTCCAGTGTCTCAAATTCTGCAGCAGTCTGTCTGCTTGATGCTTTGCTCTTGTCCTTTACTGTCTCATTTATCAGAATGGTAACTCAAAACTGAACGAGTGCAAGCTGTACTCCTGCTAAAAAACGTTCCCTGCTCCCTATTGCTACCATATAAAGTTTAAAACCATTGGACATCAATGCCCTCCAGGAACTGTCCACCTGCTGTATTCCACTGCTTCTTTCTTCTCCACCCTACAAACAAACTGCACAACTTTGGATCTGCGTGCTTGCTCTCTGAAAGCTTTCCCCCTAAAATCAGGAACACGATGATGATATTCACTATCACCACTTCTATTCAGTATAGCTCTTGAAACATTAGGTGAAGCAACAAGGCAAAAGAAAGAAATAAAAGGGATATGGACAAGGAAGTAAGAAATTAAATTATCATTATTTGCTGATGAGATGATCCTCTATATAGAAGACCCCAAAAACTCCACCAGAAAACTCCTCAGAATTAATATCATCTCAACAACTTTGTACAAGTTGTTCTTTTCATTGGGCTTCTTTTCATCTAGATAACTGGTTCTAACACTTTGAGTCACAGGCTAAGGAAGACTTCTGTCAACACCCTAGTGGACTTACTCTTACTTCAATCCATATCACAGTGTAATAAATTGCTCCATTTCCTGGCATTCCTTTGATGCATGCATGTTCTTGTCAAAAGAAACCATTCATTGACACTGGTCCATAATAGTTCATTCATATGGCTTGAATGAACACTAGCAGATATTTAGTTAGGTAGCCTTGACACCATTTGAGATGCCTGCCTATCTTACAAGATTTCAAATTGCATTACTCGTATAGGAAAATTCAAATGTCAGGATGCTTCATTTTTTGTGAATCTGCAATTCTCTGAACCCTTGGATTCTGTGCTAGTATATCAATAAACGTGAGAAATACAAGTCTGTTGACTTACAGAGTGAGTGGGGAGAAACTACACTGATATTTTCTCTTCGTTGTAATTTTTTACCCCTGTTCATGTATATATTTTCACTCTTTTATATTATTTAGGTTTTCTCTTTAGAAAATAGGTCTACCCTCAAGCCCAGATCACTAAACTTACAGATGCCTACCAATGCCTTCTATGTGTGCGAGGATAAGATAAGGGTTTAATACACTGGAAGCAACATGGACACAATGATCTCCCCTATGCTGATTATCCCAAGTCTACATTAAAATTCAGCACTGACAATGTTTTCTTTTTATACTCACTATGCCTTTGACATTTAAGCATCATCTCATCATTAGCTGTTTACCTTGTTTCTAAAAAGAAAAAGAGTTGGTGGATCTTCAAAGATTGGACAATCTTAACATTTTAAATGACACCTCTTATATAACACCTATTATACTTGTGGGATATGCTCAGTTAGTGCCTGAAGTTCAGCTTCTCTTAATCGGTAATTCTTGACCAGGCGTGGTGGCTCATGCCTGTAATCTCAGCACTCAAGAGACTGAGGCAGGAGATCGTTGTGAATTCAAGACCAGCCTGGGCTACAAAGTGAGCTTAAGGGCAGCCTGAACTGCATAGCGAGACCCTGTCTCAAAAAGACAAAGAAAAATTGGTAATTCTTTGAGTACAAAGAACCTTTAGTTATACTTCAGTCAGAGTACAAGCCTTCATTGATCATCTCCAGTGGTTACACTTAGTGTAGTTACATTTAGAAAGGTGTTACATCCGCAGTTAGTAGGTCCTGTGAAGATCATCTGTCAGCCTTCACAGAACCACTATCTTCAAAAAATTGACTCATAATTATGACATCTGGCTACATACACCACACATTGATTTCACCCTTGGAAAATTAAAATTCTTACTGTTTCCCCTGAAAACACGATAAACATTGTCCAAATGTGTCTGCATAACCACATGTGACCCACAGAAAGAACCCTGAAGAGGTTCATGGTCACAATGTGGGAAACGGAACACATTTTTTTCAGTTATCACCAGGCTAAAGGGAGAGAGATGCGTACACATGGAGTTCTAGAAGAGCTGTGTTTTGCTCCGTTTTGGCTCTGTTTTGGCTCTGACATCACACACCCACATTCACAGCCCAGAACAACCATATGGCCTCCTACATAACAACACCAGCATATGTTACATCATTTCCTTCCTGGTTGCCAGGCAATGCAGAGTGTCAGATTATTTCAGCTGGGTGAATACTGAGGGGAAGCTCTATTCTCCAGTGATATTCCTGAGTCACACAGAGACCAGCTTTGATGTTAACCCAGAGAATCGTCCTAATAGTTTCTGCCAGGCCCCTTTCACCTCTTTATTCCTCAGACTGTAAATCATGGGGTTCAGCATGGGGGTGAAAACAGCATGGAACAGAGAGATCAACTTCTCTTGAAGGGCAGAGGGGCTGGAGTGGGGCAGGATGTAGGTGAAAATGGCCATGCCGAAGCACAGGGCAACCACAGTGAGGTGCGAGGCACAGGTGTGGAAGGCTTTCCTCCTCCCCTCTCTGGACTGGATCTTGAGGATGGTGGAGATGATCTGGATGTAGGACAAGAGCACCAGCAAGAAGGGGGTCATCAGCAGGACGATGCTAGAAACCAGGATGGCCACTTCATTGGAGGAGGTGTCCACACAGGCCAGTCTGACCACAGCTAGAATTTCACAGGACACATGGTCAATATACTTGTTTGTGCACAAGGGCAGCTGAAAGGTGATGGCAGTGTGCAGGAGGGAGTTCATGCAGCCACTGACCCAGGATGCAATGGCCAACTTACTGCACAGCCCTGCATGCATGATGACCAAGTACCTCAGAGGGTTGCTCACAGCCACGTAGTGGTCATAGGCCATCACTTCCAGGAGAATGAACTCAATCCCACCCAAAGCCAAGGAGAAAAACAACTGAGCTGCACAGCTCACGAATGGGATTGCTTTATGTTCAGCCAGAAAATGCACCAGCAGCTGAGGGACTATGCTGGTGGCGTAGGACACATCCACAAGGGAGAGGTTGGTGAGGAAGAAGTACATGGGCGTGTGGAGTCTGCTGTCCAGTCTGATCAGAAGGACAATGAGGAAGTTCCCCAGCACTGTCACCAGGTACATGATCAAGAACAGGATGAACAGTGAGACTTGAACATGCCGGTCACTGGATAGGCCAAGGAGAATAAATTCACTCACCCATGTCTGGTTATCTGGTTCCATTGAAAAACATGGGATGTTTATTAATCTGCAGAAAATTCAGAAACATAAAAGGAAGTGAATAACCATAAAGTAACATTGTATGGGTACTGCATGTGACCTTCCTGTCCTTCTTTCAGCTTTCAGATCATTCATGAAGCCAAGATAGCAGTGTTGATCCAAATCTTCTTTATCCACTCTGTTTCCTGGGACAGACCAGTGCACTAATAAAGATGTGACATTTCTCAAGACTGGAGGTAATGAGGGGGAACTGTAGGAGTTCTCTCACTGAACTGGTTACTTTCATCCTCCAGCAAGAAGAGAATGGTAGTGGCAATGGTACTTATGAAATGATGAAGAAGACAGAGTTGGCATGATTAAAAATTTCCTCAGGTAGTTCAATAGACCCATTTTGATGAGCGAATTATAACAAGTTTGATTATGAACACGGAGGGCTTTATGGGAAGATCAGGGAACCTGAGTAGAAACCTGATTTTATCGGATATGTGATTGCTATCACATGATAAGCTTTCACATCGAAAACAGGCTCACATTTCATGACTCCACACAAGTACACATCATTCAAAGTAGAGAGCCGATGGGAAGTACCTGTGAACTCTTTCATTTTTTGTCTTTTTGAGACAGGGTCTCACTATGCAGTTCAGGCTGGACTTGAGCTCACTTTGTAGCATAGGCTGGTCTTGAACTCAGACTGATCATTCTGCCTCAGCCTCCTGAGTGCTGGGATTACAGGCGTGCACCACCACCGGCTTTGCCTGTGAACTCTTGCTGGTAAGACTACTGCAGTAGTTTTATAGCAATGCCTTGCACTTTATAGTACATAAAGAAACAAGTGTGGTTTTTCTCTCCTGTCTCCTTCACAAAATTAGAAAAAAGTAATTTGGTAACCTTTACTAAAAACCTTTGATTTTTTAGACATGTTTTTATTTCTTCCTACTTCAGTAGGCTGGGGAAGCACCACATAATGGTATCTAGTTCTTGGTATTTTTATATTCTCAATCTGCTGATGCTAAACATTTATTCTTTGTGTGTAAATTTAAGAGAAAGTATGGATCCTTAAAAGCACTAGACAAAAGAGATAAGCAGAATGCCAGAAATTAAGGCCCCATCTTTACTGTCCAGGGCAGAGAATAAGGTATGGAATTCTTGTTGATATGCACTGGAACACAAATCCCTCTCTGCCTCCTTTTGCAGCAAATGTCTTTTCAGTAAAACTCATATCTTGTAGCATCAATTTTACACATCAAAGAGAAACAGGTCATATAAAGACATTCTATAACTGAGTCATTGTTATTACAACTACCAGTTCACTGCACTTCCTTTGAATGGCTTAGACATAATAAAGGAAAGTGGAGGAGAACGGGTGCAGGGGGGACTGAACAGAAAAGTAGGACTTGGTACAGACTAGGGCCTGAGATGAGAGGGGAGACTGTCAACACCCCAACCCTCTTACCCGACAGAGGACTAAGCAAAGCCAGCCTTTTTAGAAAGGATTAGGACTAGGGTTAGACTCCCTTTACTGAGCCCATCTTCTAACCCCTCCTTGCTGAGCTGAATGACTTCATGCTATTCTCTGTCACCTTCTGCAAGAAGACTGCCTAGCAGTAGAAAGGCCCCTCCTCTAAAACTGCCCTTTTCACGTCTTGTCTTGAAAGGAGTGTGAAGGAAATTAAAGGCCTAAATCAAGTTAAACATATTTCTAATGGTAAATTCTCAAGCGAAGAGTTTGGAATCGTGAAAGTTGACATCACTCAAATAGTCTGCTGGAATGTCCTTAGATGTGAGTGCTTGAATACCCAGGTAGGAGTCTTATTTATGCCAAGCTTTCTACATTTTTGCAGAATTCCTAAGAGGAAAGGTAGAGCTCTGAATAACACTGTGACCATTCCATGTAAACTATTCTTCCTTCCTTTCTACCACGGCCCACCAATAGCCCTATTCTATGAGTAGCACTAAGACCCTGAAGGAATAATAGGCAACCGTTCATCAAGAAAAGATGAAAGACCTGACCACAGGCAACTCAACTGACATCAACAGGACACTGCATGTATGGGTCCCACACAGTGGGTTGTCACGTGTGAGGTCCAGAGATGTCCTCTGATGCTTCTGGTTAATTGTTCTCTCACCAGTTTTTAATTATATTTTGCTTCCTTCACTGATTTATGGACCATTACTTCAAAACACTCAACTTACCTTTGCAAGGAAGGAAATAACCAGGTCTTTGTACTTAGACATCATTTCCTTACCCAACCATCATTGCCACATTTTATTACACTACCCCAGTGAATAAGGTATGTTCTTAAAACAGTCTAAAATCACTTCCTACTTCTACTAACTGGCTGCTTCAGTAAGTTTAGTTTTACCTTTCCCCCTAAATTAGGACAAGAGAAGAAGTTCTGACTTGGAAAACCTACAAAGTGTGCACAGTATAAAAGGATGTCTAAAGGTCTCATCTTCCAGAAATATTTCAGAAAAATAATCTTTGCAACTCTTCATGTCAATTCAGTGTGCATGACTGGTGACCTTCGTCTGATTCAAAAACCCAAATTCACACATATTAAGGCTTAAGTGCTAACCCATTACCCACACCAGTGAGATGCTGCTCTGTATCAGGATGTGGGTGATGCCCTACAGCTAAGGGATAACAGGGTTTTTCCTGGGAAAATTTATGTCTCATCTCTTATAATACTCTACTAAATCCTAATCATATTTAGTCTCCTTATTTCAGTTTTCTATACTCTTAGTTGAAATAAAGAGACTCCTGAATTCAGAAACACAACACATAAAGGTAAGACATACAGCCCACAGAGATTTTTCTTTCATGTTGGTCAAAATAAATCAGAGTCTTACCTTTAAACAATTAAGCCACCAAGGAAAATGTCACTTTTATTTAGAGACAGATGAATCTGACCTGTGGCTGAAATCTTGACTGCTGTGTACATAGAAAATGTTCATCACAGATGGTAATATTTCCATCACTCTTCCATTGGAACACAAGACTCTCATGGTCATGTATGTGTGTGAAGTATCAAAACTTATTTTCCATTCTAAGAGGATAATGAGCGTTTTCTTCTTTAGAGTCTTCTTGCCTCTTTTTTCCTGACTTTTCACACAATTTGACTCTAATTACTGAAATCCAGTTTCTCAGTCAGGTGTAATCTTGCGATTCACCTTTGGGCATTTATTTTATCATGGAATCAGTCTGAAAATACTCAGCTTCTTTATATCTCTTGGTCCCAATACCTAGGGTGATCTTTCACAATAGAATTCCTCTCCTCTACCAAATTTACACGGCATATATATATTACTACAAGTTGTTCAAGAGAAACCAACCCTGATATGGGAGTCAGGAGACCTCCATGTTCACAGTATGGACACTGCACTATTTGACAATCCACTTAATCCTCTACATTTTAATTATTTCTAGTAATAGGAAAATAATAATATTTGTATATGTACTGTAACTGTGATAAAAGTCTACAAAACAAGTGACAAATTATCTTTCCTGCAGATGTAATATAGCTTTACTATACATTCATTAACATCAATACCTAGCTACATGTCTTAGCACTCCGGGTTTCTCTCCCACGTGTCTTTTCTAAAAGTGACACAGAATCCACCCACCATATTTCCAATTTTTAATTAGTAATAATTCTTTTTCCCAATCTCCTTCTCTCTCTCTCTCTCTCTCTCTCTCTCTCTCTGCAAGCATTAAGGTTTGGAATCAGTAAACTCTTGCAATGAAAATATACCTAAGTCACCACACTTCCAGAAAAAGAATTATTTTACTATACTTCCAACTATATTAGCATGATAAGATTTCAGCATTTGTAGTTCATATCTCTAATCCAAACTCACTAAAAAAGAAAATGTATAATAATTTTACCACTTTATAAGCTCCTGCTTACATGTACCCTCTTCTGACATCTCTACTCAGAATTGTCATACATTAATATCTGCTGACATAGTCCTGTAACTTCAACCTAAGATTGTTTTCCTATAATGCTTCCTTTAACAATGTGGAGGACATGGAATTTAGCGGCCCAGCCTCCTGACTCCATGATGCAGAATTTAGCTGGGACTAGTTTAGAAACACTGTTGGGAGGAAAGTCGTGGGTGATCCCAAAGGCACTCTCACACAGAAGTGATAAAGTGTGCTGGAGGCTGCACGGGCAATGGGGAGCTGACAGGTCCCTCAGGAATTTCATGCCTCAGAGGGTTAATTGCTGCAGTGACCTAAATCTCAAAGGGAAGGCATCATTCTGCCCTCCTTCTCTCAGTGGAAAGTTGCTCTCCTAATCCTCTCCTTCAGAACTCCACAGAAGCCTTAGTCATTCTAAAACAACAACAAAAAAAAAAATCACACAAGCCAACTCTCTGATATTTTAGGATGTTGCCCTGTAGCCCAAATTTACTATGTCTCTCAATGGCTCTATTCTAGCCATCAGTGAGTGTGCCTCAGTTGATACCAGAATAAAAAGCCCTCTTCATTTAGGTCCAGGATGCCCTTCTGGAGACAGAGTGTTACACTGTATTCTGTTAAGATTCCTTCCATAAATAAGATCAGCTGTTGTGAGCTTTACAAGTGTGGATGGATAACCAGTATATATCTCACAGTATTATTTAAGTCCAAGAAAAATTGCATTACATAAAAAGATTCAGTGGGCCAAAGCTGATCTACAAAAAGAGTCTTGTGATCTACAGGGAAAGAAGAGAAAGAGTTTTCCAAAACTGCACAGAAATTAAGTTAGTATAACTCTTAAACGTTTAATACTTATGAAAAGATTTGACAACAGACACACAGTACCGTTCTGTGGTATATTCTTTAACCCTCATTCCTTAGATAAATCTTTTTCCATGTATTTATTCACGCCAAGTCAAATACCCAGTAATTCCCCAGTATCTATGAGTGAATCTCTCTCTACCATCCCAGACATCATTTATTTTCTCTTCTGCTTGTGCAGTCACTGTCGCAAGCCATCACCCACATGCTCACTCATCTA